CAGAAAGCTCTAGTGCCACAACAAACTACAAATCCCAAGATTCCATACCATTGAGCCAGGGCAGTTAAAGTGGTGTGAAAGTGGATTATTTCTGCGTGTGGGCGCCACTTTAGAAACATTTGAGCTATTTTAGAAAAAAAAAGTGTTCCAAAATTACTACTACTACTACTACTTTACATCCTGAGTGGGCAAGGTGTAGGCCTTAAACTATTGTTGGACAGCAATGGCCATAAGGGAATGAGGTCTGTAAGCAATATGAAAGCAGTAGCATTGGTACTACTGCTCCAGCTTCCCTTATGTAGGTGACATGGCTGGCAGATTTATTTATGTCCTGTGTCTGATTTTTATCCTGCCTTTCTTTTGACAGGTCAAGATGGCCTAGAAAATTGTCTGAAAAAGCAAGGGAACAGGACAGGTAATAACAAATGTAAGGGTCATCATTCTTGATGGACACTGTTATAACTGTATTTGGCACATGGATGCTCTGAAACACATCTTGGCTTCCCTCATTTAATGACTTTTAACCCTCTTAAACAGCTGCAAGTTCATTCCTTCCAGTAGCAAAATGAAGGAGTGTGTGGCTTCCACAGTGAAGCCAAAAGAAGGCAATTTTGGGTCAAACTATGCACTATGCCCAGCGCATGGCGTGCAACTCAAGAGCCCCCTCCTTGGACCTTATCACACGGGGTCTAAAGCAGACCTAATCCAATGGGTATCTGTAGCTAATACATATTATTTCCCCGTGTTTACACACGACATTGCAGTGAAACCCGACAGAACCCGGAGCTAATCCGTAACGAATTGAGATCTTTTGACATTCGGTTTTTCGGGGAAGTACAACCGAGCTTTCGGAATAATTGCGCAATGGTTGCACAGGCAAAATACATATGATCACGCAATACGTATTGTGAAGCATTTCCCCGCCCTGACTCATGGTTCCCCGCGCTACTTCCCATGGATCTGTGAGGAAGCATCTTATGACGTGTCCGTCCTGTTTGGATTGGGCAACAAATGGGATGGGTAAACATGGTCCTCTCTTTGTAATTTATGGGATTTTCTAACTTGTGTGTGCACGGAGAATACGTTTCCAGGATGCGTGTCCCGGGAAGCGCGATAATTGCGCTATGGCGGTAATTGCGTGTGGTAGGCATTTACATATTGCGGGGAGCTCTTTCAGCTCATTTCGGTACAGAACTGAATTTATTCTTATTTCGGTTACTTTTCGCTTCGTGGCCAGCATGTGATAAGGTCCCTTGTTTCTTGGCAGCAGGGCATGCTTCCCCAATCTCACTCAGAACCAGTGGATATGCCTGGGGAGATTGCAATTTCCCTCCATCAGTTTTTATGTCACCCTCTCCCAAGACACACCATTTAGGAGGTTAAAAAATTAAAAGGAAAAAATTGGTATTGGTGGAGCCTTTATTGTCCTTTCAAGCTCCTTTATTGTGTGAGAGAGATGTGGGAAGAGGATAAATTCTAAAGCTTTCTCACCTGTGCATGCTGATCCCAATCCAGGTGGGGCCACACATACTTATGATCGGGTGAAAAAAGAGGGTGAGTGAGCTCAGGCTCCATGAACAGTGGGTAGGTACACCTTCAGACCAGGAAGGGAAGCCTCATCAGGTAGAAATGACAAGGTTTGTAGCAGGAGAGAAATATTTAAGAATGCTCAACAGCTTTTGTTATACTGGGTGTCATTTGGAAAAGAGAAAGGGGAAGGTGAGAAGATCAGAAGGGAAGGAGGAAATAGTGTGTGGGGTCCTTACAGCATATATTATATTGGTGGCTACCTGGCAGGAACCCTAACCATGCTGCAACATTTTGTTGTTGCTCCTCCCTGTACTTACTAATTCCAAGCATATGGTTTTGAGGTAAGGAAGTTTCCCTGTGCCCTGGAGAGAAAGCAGATAAGTACCTGTGTTGCTGCTGTTTTGTCAAAGGGGCCTACCCATTCATGTAGATTCCCATGTTTGGTCTCCCACAGGTCAAATCCGTCCTCCTCTGCAGTGTGTGAAGTCTCAAGATGGTTCTCTGGAATTTGCAGGGAAAAGATGCTCAGGCAGTATTGGTCCTTCTGAGATTTTGGAGAGATGCTCCAAGTGGGAAGGTACTACTGGAGTCATTATGGCATAGTTGTTTGAAGGATGGGCTATGACTCTGGAGACCAGGGTTTGAATTTTTGTTTTTGGGCATGGAAACCCATCGGGTTTGATTCCTGGCTCAGGCAATAAACTTACTGGGTGACCTTGGGCAAGTCACACACTCTTAGTATCAGGCAATAGCAAACCTCCTCTGAACAAACCTTGCCAAGAAAACCCCATAATTGGTTTACCTTGTTCTTTTTGTGTGCCTTCAACTCGTTTCTGACTTATGAATACCAAATGGGAAACCTATCATGGGGTTTTCTTGGCAAGATTTGTTCAGAGGAGGTTTGCTATTGCCTTCCCCTGAAGTTGAAAGTATGTGATTTGCCCAAGATCACCCAGTAGGTTTCCATGGCAGAGCCAGGATTCGAACCCTAGTCTCCAGAGTTGTCGTTCAGCGCTGAAACCACTATGCCATGCTGGCTCTAGGTTACAAGCATCTTGTTGTTGTTGTGTGCCTAAGTCAGAAACAACTTGAAGGTAAACAACAACAAAATGCTTGTTTACTCTGGAGTATGTTAAACTGTGTCTAAAGATAAGGTCTGACACATTGTGCCAGGTACACTGTCATGAGAGTGCTGCTTTGAAAGGATTAATGTTCTGGTTCCATGTAACCATTAATCTGAAAATCTCTTCCTGACAAGCTTTTGGAAGATTGTTGCTTTGTGCCTTCAAGTCATTTCTGACTTATGGTGACCCTAAGGCAAACCTATCATGGGGTTTTCTTGGCAAAATTTTTCAGAGGAGGTTTGCCATTGCCTTCCCTGAGGCTAAGAACATGCGACTTGCCCAAGGTCATCCACTGGGTTTCATGGCAGTGCTGGGAATCGAACCCTGATCTCCAGAGTCATAGTCCAATATTTAAACCACTACACCACACTGACTCATTGGAAGATCACACACCCTCAAATTTCCTTTCTAGTGTGTTTCTTACTAGATTGTAACTATGTGGGTAGGACTATTTATTTTAATAGTCTTGTAATGGTGCAGAATAATCTACTTTTAACATTTTCAGACCTTGGACACACTATGAAGTCAAATATGCTTTAAAAGATCTACTTGACAAGTGTTTGGCAAGGTATGTTTTAAAATCACTGCATTCACATGACACATTTAGGGCTTTGGGAAATACTCCATTGGTGATACTCATTATGCCATGAGAAAAGTAGCTCACGATGCTTTGCAACCTCAGCTGTCCCTCTGATGTTACACCTCTTTGCTTCTGTTAATGTCCTCATGTCTTTGTAAATAATAATGCTTAGTGTTTATATCAGGGTGTGTGTATGTGTTTTAATTTCTGTTGTGGTTGCATTCCTGAAGTTAGCATTTTTACTCAACCAACTATCAGTTTTAAAGAGATTTAAAGCATAAAAATCAGAGCTCACCTTTTCCAGCCTCGAGGAATGTGTAGATGCTCTCTAGAGAAACCAGAAGAGGCAGCAACTGCTGATCCCAAGGGAGTTGGGCTGGGAGGATTACACAACAATTCCTCCTCAGAAGTGAGCCCAGATGAAGAGCAACTGGAAATAACTGTGTTCTTCTGCTGGAGTGGAACAGAAAGCAGATCAGGGGAGGGGGAGAGAGAGAGAGAGAGAGGCAGAAGACAACAAACTGTGTCTTCTGCAGCAGGTGAAGAGAGCAAAATAAGAAGAGAGGCAGCAAGCACATCTCAGGTGCATTGACCAGGTCCACATAAAAAGCAGCACAAAAAGTCCTTGCAAAAAACATCCACTGATTTCTTTCCCTCAAGTCAGATCTTAGAATCATAGAATCATAGAGTTGGAAGAGACCACAAGGGCCATCTAGTCCAAACCTCTGCCATGCAGGAACTCCCAATCAAAGCATCCCCGACAGATGGCCATCCAGCCTCTGCTTAAAGACCTCCAAGGAAGGAGACTCCACCACACTTCAAGGGAGTATGTTTCACTGTCGAACAGCCCTTACTGTCAGGAAATTCCTCCTAATGTTGAGGTGGAAAATCTTTTCCTGGAGCTTACATCCATTGTTCTGGGTCCTAGTCTCTGGAGCAGCAGAAAACAAGCTTGTTCCCTCCTCAATATGACATCCCTTCAAATATTTAAAGAGGGCAATCATATCGCCTCTTAACCTTCCTTTCTCCAGGCTAAACATGCCCAGCTACCTAAGTTTCTTTTCATAGGGCTTGGTTTCCAGAC